TGTTCCCTTTTCGCAGCCAAATGGTACTCGTGAAGTTGCAGAAAGATCCGTGAACGGAGGTAAATCAACAGTAAATGGCGACGAAAGATCTAAATAAAACACTTCATCTGATAGATCGAATTGATGAGTTTTATTCCATGCGGGTGAGGTCGTAGATATAGGCCGTGAACCTCCAACGAAAAATATTTTATCATTATACAAAGTTGCCATGTGACCACCGCGTGGCTCAGGCATAAATGAATAAACATTGAGCGATAATGATAAAATAAAAATTATGCTCAACATAGAAAATGCGGTTTTGAAATTCGTGGCTAACATATTTAAGTTGCTTAAATTTGTAGTCATATTAACAAACTTAGGATACACCTAATTAAACTTTTGTACGGCGCTACGATAAACAATACCGTATTAAAAACCGAATTCGTACGTACGTAATTCAAATTTAAAACAAATGTGCCTAGTGTTCAGATATTCCGTTTCACGAAGTAAACTTTTTTCTTGTTTGATAAATGCTTAAATCATCATTGTTAATAATAAGCTTGTTTCGAATATAGTCTCTCAATAACATAAAAGTCACGGGAAATACCCTTGGATTATATGTGTACAAGCGGAAGCGAAGTTTACCAGTACCCAATGGTCCAGGATATTGTTAAAGACGATACTCATTCGACCGAAATCTGATTCTTGTGAATTTATTCAGACCAAATTGTGTGTAAGAGCTTTTCCATCGCATCGCATTATGTACTGTGCGTCACCATTGTTGTTTGTATGTAAAAAGTTAAAGTATAAAATAACTAACTATAACGTACGTTTTTAAATGCAGGCATGTAGAGATGTTATTAGAGATGTTATGTGGTCTGGTTTAAACTGACGGTCTTAAGGCCAGACCGGTCTGGACCAGTCTGGACCGGTAATTCTTAAGACTATAAACTATTAAAAGACTGAATCAAAATAAACCAATGTGAACCAGACCAGACCGTTAACATCACTACAGGCAGGTTATAAAAGTTATTTTAGTGCAGGTTTTTAGATATTGGTTTTTGTTCCAAGTGTATAAACCTATAAATAAAAGTTTTTTTTGTATAAGCCTACTGTATTGCGGATTATTCATAATAAATACTAGCAGATTTGACGTATTAATGTTTAATTTATAATTCTAACGATAAGAAATTTTATAAGTGAACGAGTTGACTCAAATGATATATCACTTATACCTAAATTCGCACACAAAAATGTGTACAAGGTTGGTGGCGCAGCTCTCCTGTACTACGAATCAGATTTCAAAATTAGGTGTAACGTAACACGATCAGGAAGATTCAAAACAAACGTTCGTTTTGCCAAAAATCGCTCATATCTCCAAAATCAGTATAAGAAACTACCTTTTGCGCTCTAACAAAAAGTTTTCGTTGGGCAATTTTACCATATAAACTACCCACCTCTAGATCCTAACCCTGATCCTAACCCTAACCTTAACGAATTTTGAGAATTTTGTCTGCGCCGCCAACCTTATTCACATTTTCGGTATGCCCTAAATTCGACCTCATTATCTTTCAAATGCAAGCCCAAAATCTAGGATTTATATCGTTAACCGGTGACGTTAATTTGCTCGGCAATTATGGTTATGATTTAGGTTTATAGAAGTAATAAATTAGTGCTTAACTTTATTAGAGAGCCTGTATATCGACAATGAAGCAATGAAACGACCCAATACAGCATGCGCCCCTTACTGAACTACGAATCAGATTTCAAGATCAAGTGCAGCGTAACACGATAAAAACAAACGTCCATTTTGTCAAAATTCGCTCAGTTCTCGAAATTTTAAATAAGAAACCACTTTTGACACTCTAACAAAAAGTTTTCATTGGGCAATTTTACTATCTAAACTACCTTCCTCTGACCATAACTCTAAAGGACTCTTGCTGCGTCACACTCTTGGCACATATTCAAGTAGTGCATACTGCATAGGGGGCTTTCATGCTAATAGAAAACAAGTCCGAGGCGAAAAAATTTTGGAATTTGTTAACAAAAAGATATATTTAAATTATAAATTGTATTTATTGTAATTTATAATACGTAATAATAATTTTTAATGCTTTGATCCTAATTGTTATTAAATGCATAAAAAAAATAGCTCGTCTTCAAGCTAACTTCTTAGATACATATATAAATAATTTTACGCATAAATCAAATTGCTTGCTAACTAATGCATAAAGATATATAATAAACAGCATAAATGAATTAAAGAGAACCGTCAACTATCAATGAATGTAATACACGTTCATGAAGGATACGAACTGTATTAAAAACCAGACACGAACTATTGAACATAGTGCGTAATCATAGATGTTGTGACATCCAATGGGAGAGACTTCCTTATATCGGTACAACTCAGGGACATCAACATTAACGAGAAGAAAGCAAGTATTTAT